AAATAAAATGAAAAATGTGAAAAAAGCATGCTCAGTGTTATAATAATATTTATCTTTTTTCAAATAATTTTATAGCCACTTTAAATTTTCTGACAAGTTGTGCGACAACTATAGAGTTCTTATATTTATTTTACAACACTTGATATTCTGTTTAAGATAATTCTACCTAGACCACTATGTATAACAACAGAATAAAACTGTTTTCCTACACACTAAATAAAGTATTATTTAAAAAATAGCAGGACAGCGTAAAAACTCGCGTATATAATTTTTTTGTATAAACTATTTCGTAATTTTTTTTAATAAATATGCCGTTTTGGTGGATCATAAAGCTTTAACTTTTTTTTAAGGGTCATTAAGAACGATTCTATAGGCGTATCCATAGAGTAATAAATCTAGAGAGATGACAGGTCATTTATAAATCCGAATTTTTCCACTCCGACATATACAGGGTGATTTAAGGATAGAGTAAAGGTACGTCCAAAGTGCACCGACTTTGTGTAAATTATTGTAAACGTGACATCTCTGTATTAGTTTTTACTCTATGGGCTTTTGAGCTGTGATTTCATCAAAATTTTGGTGCAGTCGGCGTAATTGTATAGATAAAGTGTTTTTTAACAAATTCAGTAGAAAACTTTGAACTGTAATATTCCTTTCATTATCTTACATGAATTAGATAAAGAGTTTAAAACTGTGATTTATTATATTTTTTATAAAAAAAATAAATTATCAGTTATGAAAGATATACATATATACAATGCGATCAAGTTTATTGTAGCTGGACTTTATCAGAAAATAGAAAAAGTAGGTATATTTTAAAAATGGAATTCTATTTTAAATATTAAATAAGTATTTTTTATTTTTAAAGCTGGGCGTTTTTAAAATGGGACATTTCTGGCATAATTAGTGCCAGATTTTATTTTCAAATAAGTCAGGCTATAATAAACTGGATCTTCCTGTATCTCTGTACAACTTTATTAAATTATTACAGAATTTCAAAATTTCGTTTTTTATATGAAAGGAAAATTATTGTTATTGTTTATGAATCAGGGTTACTTTTCAATAGGAGAAATATTTTGATAATGATATTTTCCAATTAGAAACGGAAAATTGAAATAAAATAATTACCCAATCGCTGCAAAATACATAGATACCATTTATATATATCATTTCCTATATATTTTATAGGTATAAATTAATATCAAGACGATGTCAGGTTCAATTTGTAGTAAACATTATTGTTGCTGAAGTGTATAATAGATTAGAATATACAATATATTATTTTAAAAGTAATTTGAACTATTTGTAGAATTATTTTTTTTCTTTGTTGATATTTTCAGTTGTTCAAAATTTATTTGTTTTTTTTTGGGGAAATATTTTATTTAAATTATACTTAAATTAATAAATTTTATCTATTTAAATAATAATATACTCTGTTTTTTTTTCTCAGATAAGATTTAGACAGACGATGACAGAAAAAAAGCAGATGACTTCCATACCAATCCATTTATTTCACTAAAAAATGTTTCTAATATTTTTTAAGTTAACTATGGATGGGTTTATAAATAAATACGTCATGCGTCGTCTCTTGTTGTTTTTAACCAGTTTTATTGGTTTATTTAAAAAATGACAGATCATATTTCAATATTATTGGTTTGACGCAACGATGAACGACAAACGGACGCCTATGCGTATGTACTCGACTTAAGATGTTTGAGAATTGTCAAACTCTTGCCAAATTATAGGTTATAATTTTGTGTCAAAATATGTCAAATAGAAATGATAAATATTTTGCATTTTGCATTTTGGACTGTGTTGTTGCTTGTGTTTCGTGTTTTTTAAAATTAAGTGAAGGAAAACTCGAGGGAAAATTAAGTGTTACAGTTACCATAGTTTACAGTTAATATTCGGTGCACAGAGACCGCCAGAGGCACAGTTTTCCAGAGACCATGATCAGAGAATTGTATTAGCCCCAAATAAAATCCTATACCATCTCGTATATGGTACCAAAAACTGAAGTATTTGTAAAATAACATCTCACGATAGGTAAATAATACATTTTAGTACTGCAGAAAAAAATTAAGATTAAATTTAATTAACCAAGATTAGATTTTTTCAATTTTATATAGTTTTTTTACAATGTTTTGAAGTAATCACTTGTCACTCAAAATTTAAATATTTGAATTATGCGTTTCAATTGTACCAACTTATTTCTTTGTAAAATAAAATAAACTTCTTTGAAATTAAAATGACAGACACATCTATCACTGTCAAGGATTTTGTCGTTGGACAGACTATAACTATAAAGAATTATATAAATGGCATCTACATATTTTTATTTTAATGATCAGTAAAATGAACAGGTTCAGTGTGCTTGACAAGGTTAACAAAAAATTTACAAGTTTCTACTTAGTAAAAAAACTTTGAATATAATTTATACTTTATATAATTTGATAATACTTGCGTAAACGTAATTTAAAACGTAAGTAACTTTATTTTCATGACTTAGATCACGTTATACAGGGTGTCAACGAATACGCAAAGTAAAAGCGAATCGTACTCTCTGAAATTGTGAAAAATAATTAAAAAATTAACACTTTCTGTTGTAAATATAACTGTTGTACCGAATATTTATTAACTTTATTTTCTGCTTTTTACAACTACGACGTTTTGGATAGTTAAATCACTTTTCGTTATCAAGTTGATGCTAAAATTAACTTTTAATTAATCTTTAGTTGTTTAAAATAGTAAAGTTGTAGTTGAAATACTTTTCGGCACTTACTGTATACTGGGCGTCCCATTATGTCAACATGACACTACTACATATTTTTGGAAGCAAAATACGTTAATTGATCACAACTTACCTCTATACAAAAGTGCTTCGTCTGTGCGTTAGAGGGCATCAAATTTTAAAGAGTAAACATATTTTTTAATTAGCGTTGTTTCAATTAGCGTAGAAGTTTGTTCGGCTAATTTGAATGTAAGCATTCCGAACGCTAAAATTAGTGGTAGGGATTTTCAATTAGTGGAAAAAGTTATCAAACTTTTAACTTTCTTACCATACAACGTTCCCGTAGCGCAACTCAGAACGCAAAATTTCGTTCTATTTATGTTGATCTGCGCATTGCGTCTATTGGGCCCACTATCTCATTCTAATATAACAAGAGAGAAAGAAGCAGCCATATAAAACGTAATTTCTAAATAGAAATTAGAACAATCGCCTTTCGTTTTTGTCATCATGACAGCCAAGATGACAACATCATGACAATTCGTCATGTTTGTTAATTTTTCTTTTGGTGATTTACCTTTTTTTCTAAACTCTCCATTTTATTGACTTATGAATATGGATAGGGAACAAATTCCTTTGTTCCATATAGGATATTTTGTTACTTATAATTTTAGGTTATACTATTTGTTATTTTATTTGCTGCAGGAGCCAGTATCATCTATTTTCTATATGTATTGGTGCCCCCTTTCTCTGATAGATATGTTAAAGACACACGGTAAAATAAAGTAAGTAGTTATATTTATTATCTTATTAAGAAAAAAGTAGAAGTATAGTAGTGTCAAAAATATTTCGAACCTCTCTTAACATAACAAATTAATACAATTATTTTTTTTCATTTTTTGGGTAGGTAGTTTATAGCTGGTTTATAGTAACCAGAAACTTTATTAATATATCTATTTTACTATTGTTTTAGGATTAAAACTGGACTTGAAAATGGTTCAGGATCATGATTCTCGTAAAGTCTTCTTTGCTTGGATATTCACTTTGTTACTGCAATTAGGCAGTTTTTTCGAAAATGAGATTTTTAATGCCCTTTAAAAAAATTGGCCGATCGTTTCCTGCAACAGTCAGTTCTTCTGCAGTTAAAATTGGTAGGTGGGTGGAATAAACACTGTTATTTTTTGTTATTATATTATAAAAAGTTTATTTATTTTTATGTATAAATAAATATGTTTATAAAACAGTACAATTTTTGCTTCTTTTATAATTTCCCTTATAATAGTAGTATTAATGGTCCTGCTAATTGGTTTCAAAATTGTTATTCTGAGTTGCGCTACGGGAACGCGGTCCCACTCTTTACCATGAGATGTGTCAGTCACTTTTTATTTGTTTGTCTATGTTTCCCACTAATTATACTTCAAAATTTGCGAGGAATGTCATGGGAATGTCATTTTGGCCTTTTGATTATAATCCGTCAAGAGAAAATGTGGTTAGAAATTAAAAGTTTATTGTTTTATAAGCTAAATATTAATCTATTATCTCTATGGATACAACTGATTACTGCCAGCTGTTGCTAGGATATTCTATGAATTTCAATTGTGTTTTTTAGACATTGTGAATGATGCATAGATAAAGGAAATTCATTTAGATTGGAAAGCCCGTCAAAATATATAATTAATTGTATTGGGTCGCGACCGTTGTACGCGATCTGGCGCTGCTATAGCGTTTGCTAAGAACAACCGCCAAACAATAACAGAAATAATTTTCTCGTGGAAAAAGTTAAAAGTTTCTTAACTTTGTCTATGTATTGAAAATTACTACGACTAATTTTGACGTTCTGAATGCTTACATTGAAATTAGGGGAACAAACTGCTATGCTAATTGAAAACACTAATTTCGAAGTTCTGAGTAAAGCTTTAGTGTTTTATTTAATGTCCTATCACAGACAAACGAAGCCTTTTTGTACAGAGGCAAATTGTGTCCAATTGATCTTATTTTAATTCCAAAAATACGTAGTAGTTCTGTCCTAATATTGACAATATTGATAATATTACCTTAATAATATTGAGATACCCTTCATACATATATCTATCATTTTCCTATAATTTATAATTTTAAAATGTAAAAAAAACTTTACGTATTCGATGACTTGACCCTGTATAAAAAAATGCAAACAATGTTCAAGAGGACAATGCACTTCAAGACTAAACAACCACAAACATTAGAAATTCTACCTACAGTATAAAAAAATGGAAGCAATATTCTCCAACAATATCATTCACCGTCATCTTTAATAAAACAAAACTACTTATAATTACAAACAAACACCTTTAACGTATTCTTATTTCAAAGTAACCTTCGGATTCCTTCCATATCCCCACTCCTGTCGCGTCCAGTCTCCGTCTCTCCTTTCCTATTGGTCGCCCTTGAGCTCCACGTCGCCGTTCAGCTCCCCCGCGCCATCTAGCGCGCCGTTCTCCGTTCCCCCTCCGCCGCCGCCACCGCCTTGATAGTCGCCGCTTTCTTCGTACGGCCGCAAGATGGCCCTGACCGTTTCGAAGTACTTCTTGAAGCCCAGCTTGGCGTACAGGCTCTTGGAGGCGTCGTTCTCCGGGCGGATTACGACGAAGGGTAGGTAACCCCTTTCTGTCACCTGGAACATGTTAATATGTGTGGTTGTGTTCACCACATACGACACGGAGTATTGTAGCTAAACGATTAGACTTGCAAATTGTAATTTTTCGGTTCGTTGAAGGACTATTAGAGTTAAATTTAAAAATATTTTTACAAGATACAGAGTGTCCCAATAAATATAAAATATTAAAGTTGTATTTTTTAAATGGAACATCCTGTATATTATTAAATTTTTAGTTTCTATACGTAAAATAAAGGTTATTTTGATTTATGTTTATCACACTTAAACCTTACCATTTTTGAAATATTTTCAATTTTGTGAAATTGCAGTAAACATTTTAAGGCTTGATTTCTCCAAGGGTATCAAAGTTTTTAATACTAAATATTTACTGAAGTTTATTTATTGATCAGGTATTGTGTTTCATTAATAAAAATAATACTACCTCATACAGAGTATCTAAAAAAAAATATTTTAAATATTTTCTAGCTTTAAACGCCAACTTGTTTAATTTAAATGGAACACCCTGTTATTTTAGGAGAATCAGATGCACAATTTAATTGTCTATCAAATTGTATTATACCATTTTTTACTTATCTCTTCATGTTTTCGTACAAAATGTATTTTTTATAATTTAGACGTTATTTATCAATATACCCATGGAATATTGACATTTTAGGTTATTTTTAAAGATGTAACAAATTTTTAAAGAGTACAGACACTAATATTGTCGATAAAGTTTGTTTATTTCATTAAAAACTAGAAAACCCTGTTTAAATATTTGTTAAAGAGGACCAATTAATATGATTCCAGTATCCAAACTACATTAATTGACTGTTTGCGTTGATTAATAATAATTGCTCCAAATTCTAAAACTGAATTTTGCATGTGTATTATAAAAGTGTACAGAGAATGTGGTAAAAAGTAACTCCCTAAAAATTTTATTTCATTTTTTGACTAATGCTTATTTATAACACAACTTATTATTATATTGGTTTCTGATTCAAATCCACATTTATTTAGAATAATTTATTAATTAACACAATTAAGTATGTAATTAATTAATATTTGAGCGGAAAAAATGGTGGTATATTTTAATTAATGGTATACTCTTTTGTAAAGATTTAAATAGTTTTCTTTTTGTATGCAAATGGGCTAGTGATATTATTGTTTTTAGCACCTGTACATTTTGTATATTTGTTGATTTAAAAACAATCTATAATGTCAATATTCTATGAGTATATAATGATAAATTAGGTCTAAATTATAAGAAAATGCATTTTCTACGAAAACTTGAAGGTATAGGTAAAAAATGGAATAATACAATTTGATAGACAATTAAATTGTGCATCTGATTCTCCTAAAATATACAGGGTGTTTCATTTAAATTAAACAAGTTACAAAGATAGAAATTATTTAAAATAAATTTTATACACTCTGTATGAGGTAGTATTATTTTTACTACTGCAACACAGTAACTGATTAATAAATAAACTTTAGTAAATATTTAGTATTAAAAACCTTGATAGCCTTGGAGAAATGAAGCCTTAATTTTTTTAATGCAATTTTACAAAATTGAAAATATTTCAGAAACGGTAAGGTTTAAGTGTGATAAACTTTAATCAAATTTAGCTTTATTTTAACCGTAGAAACTAAAAATGTAATAATTTACAGGGTGTTGTTCTATTCAAAAAAATAACTTTAATATTTTTATTTATTTGGAAAAATATTTTGTATAATAATTTTGTATAATAAAAAAGTGTAATAAATTGTAGCTCTAATAGTCGTTCAACGAACCCAAAACTTACAATTTGTAAAAATCTAATCGTTTAACTATAATACTCCGCATCGTATGTGGTGAACAACCCTGTATTACAGAAATATACTTATATAGTTTAAAGCTCTAAAAAGTGATGCCCAAACGGTGAAAGAGAAAAATGGAATTTTACATAAATGTATTGGGGTAATGTTTTCTGTATACAGAAACCCACACATACGGGACAATATTTAAGTTTTCAGGCAAACCATTCTGAAGCAAGTAAAAAAGAAATAGTTAAAACTTTATGTCAATGAGCAAATACCATAATATGGTACCATATTATGGTATATGGTCATTTATGCTTGGTCACTGCATATTATGCAGTGACCAAGCATCACTTAATGTTGAATTAAATAATATTAAAACGGATTTGCTTCAGAATGTTTACTCCGAGTATCCATAGACAGAATTATGTTGTAGAACTTGTAAAACTGACTTATTGGTTCATCGAGGAGGATTCTCTCTCTCTCTCTCTCTCTCTCAAAGTTTTAGGAATTAATTTGGTTCACACCTGATAACGGTCAGTGATCCTTCTGACCGAAACATTGTGATAATCGAAAATAAATAAAGACAAGTATTCAAAGGCTTAAAGCTGGCTAAAGAGAGATAGAGGTTAGATGTCACTTTAAACTTGACTTACCAAGTTTGTTAGGTGTTTGGCTAATAACATGCCGTAGCCTTTTCTTCTATATTCAGGTCTCGTTTGCATGGAAAACATTGCACCATAATAGGACTGTACCATCCAGGCAGCTAATTCACCTATTTAGAAGTGTTTTATTTTATTTCTTATATACCTATATTTATAAAATAAACCGATTTTCTTCTATGTTAGATATGAATTTATAGGTCATTCATAAGGTTTAGCTTTAAACTACGCAGCAATCAACATTGATTGAAATTGTTGGTTATTCTGATTTCGCTTGTTTGCTTGGCGTTGCCAATAAATTTAAGAAATTTGAAAATTTATCGATTGTTATCAGGTAACGTCAAAAAAAGCCAAGAATTAAATATAACGATTAATTTTTTGACCATAATTAAATTTGTTTTACATAATAATGTAGAAATAAGTTATTGTCACTGTGATATTTGCGGTATTTGTCGAAAATTTGTACGGATATGTCGATATACCTTGGGCAGAAAAGACGCCAAAACAGGGCAATTTATCGATGAGCTTCTCGAATACTTCTATGCATTCCATTTGGTTGGCAGGATAGAGATCGTGGATCATTTGAGCGTGTTCCTGTTTCAGCTGGCTGATTTCTCCCTGTTCGGCTATCACACTGCAAAACAATGAAGAATAAGAATGAGAGAAATATTAGGTTTTTTATCTTTGTATCGAAGCGGGCCTTGATTTTGAGTTGACCTAGTTGCCTAATTATTTTTTTTATCACAATTTAATATTCTATATCATTATTTATCTGCATAATTAAATACTTTTGAAAAGGTAAATCAACATTCTATATTAGTATTACCATTTACAATTAAAAAGCCAGGGTTACAACTGCACTATTAAATGGAGAATTTAGAGAGAATTGGAATGGAACAAGGGATTCCATATCATGGCCTGTTAGGTCCGTTGTTGCCTGTTGTTGCGTTGGTCTTGGCCTGTTGTCCGTTAGGCAACTTTGATTAATAATAATAGCTCCCGTATATAGCGTTTAACGCCTTGAGAGTAGCAAGGTACAGCTTGCTATACTAGAGCCGTTCGGTATACAAGGAAGGTAATGTGGCTAGCACTACGCTTCAACCGCCTATTATTACCTCAGGATTGTGAATCCCAAGTACTCATTTAAGGCTGAGTCGACCTAGGTACCCAAACTATTTTTATTTTAATAAAAATAGTCGGCTGATGAAATGCCGGGTGTGGGAATCGAACCCACACCTTGAGATTGGTAGACGAGAGCCTGTACCTCTACGCTACCGGGCACCTTTCATTTATTAGTAAAATACCTCAGACAAGTTGGTCTTCAATGGATTAACGCAGCGGTGTTTACTAAAAAATAACTATTTTATTTTGTTGATTTTCTTACAGTGCAAGTGGCAAAATACCCAAAGGACTTCTTAGGACACAAAGGAAGACACGCAATAGCCTTACTAGTTTGCAAGAACAAGGGAATCTTAGTCTTGCATTTGCTCATCACTAGTTCTACTCAACTGATGAGCCTCCAGTATAAAAGTAAAGTGTTTTAATGTGTTATGGTGAATTAGTGTTTTATTTTGTAGATAGTTACTACTGATGTAATGCTGATGGAACTCTGTTACTTACGCTTGTGCTTGGGCTTCGTCAGCCTGTGGTTCGATCTGACCATAAACGTCCCCATACAGTTTCTCCATGGAGCCTATGTTGACGTAAAAATCCTCGATTTTGCCCATGATCTTCGCGTGCGTGAAGTTCAGGTAGATCGGTTTCGACCAATCTATAAGCACGTCTTCCGTTTCTAATAATTCTAAGTTATCTAGTTGATCGCAGGGACAGAAAACGCTGAAACTTTCGTACAATTTGTTGTTTGGCTGGAATGCAAAACGAACAGAAATAATTAATAATTAAAGATAATAAAATAGTTAAATATAAAGCAGAAATAGTGTTCAATTTCCACAAACTTCATTTATTGCAATTACTCCACAATCTAGCTAATAAGAGTCTTCCAATATATGAGGGGGCGATCTCATGATTTAATTATATCTATACAAATATTTTAAGTTTGAGGTCTTCTAAATTATACAGATTGGTCCGAACTGTATTCAGGAAACTTCGGCAGCATATTCTGCAGATAAAAATAAGTAAAAAAGTTCGTATAAATGTATGTCCTAAAATGTTAAGTTTTGGAGATACAGGGTGTAGAAGTTTCATTTTTATTTCGATTTTTTCCAAATAATTTTTGACGTAGCGTCAATATTTGGATGAAAATTGGTGTCTGGGAGTTTTTTGACATGAGAAATTTGATTTTGATGTCAATATGACTACTACTTGTAGAGGGAGCCACCTACATATTTTTAACTGGTTTGAAGAGTAATAACTTTTTGTCCGTACCTGTATAAAACTACAGAGTAAAAAAATATACATTTACGACATTTTTTAAAAAAGGTCTCTTGGTAAGAATCGTCACGAGTAATTGTTCTCGAGATATTTGGAATCGAAATTAGCAATACCTGTCATCATTGACATAAATTAAACATGTTGACTAAATAGTTATTAGAGTGAAATCATAAATTTGAAATGATTTTATGTCAAAAGTTTAACAGAAACTGTTTTATCATCATTTTTTCCCAAATTTATCATTTCAGTCAAATAACTATCTACTCAACATGTTTATTTTTTGTCAATAATGACGTGTATTGACTAGAGGCATTTTAAACATCTTGAGAAGGGTTGCTCGTAGCGATTTTAACCAAGAGGCATTTTTTACGTAAAAAATCACAGAAATATATATTTTTTCACTCAGTAGTTTTATAAAGGTACAAGAAAAGTGTGAGTGGATTGGGTTATTTCTTTTTTAAAGAACACCCTGTATATTATTGCATTTTTGGCTTCCTTTCTGATCACTTTACATAATCCTAAGATATTATTAGATATGTTTTGATACTTTCAAAAATATTAATAAATAAAACTGAAAACATTCCTTTTTTATTTACTTTTACTACTAGGGCTTGGCCTTGCCAAAATTATCACCGATTGTCATTCCCATCGTATGGTATAATTATTTTCATTGGTTTTCCAATATTTGAACATTTATCGAAAAAGTGTTAGAAAGTAATAAAAAAGCTTCAATTTTTCAGCAGCATAAAAAATGTAAAAGCCTCTGACAGTAGAGATAAAAAAATGGTCTTTCTTTTCAAACTCATAATTTATCTTCAAATAGAGAAAAGGGCCAAAGCCAATCATTTGTTCCCTTTCATTCGAAAATCAGCCTTTTGATTTTTTACATTTTTTATTTTTGGAAACTGATGTAATGGGATAAAACCGTTGTTTTAGGCTGTATAACCATTGTTTTAGGCTTATCTAGATTTGCGTAGCTTTGAATTCGGGTTTGACTAATTTTAAGACAATTCTAATAAATTATATCTATCAGGGTTACCATACGTCCGAATTTCCAATTTCCTCAGAGATATCTGGATTTTTAAGGCGAATCTAACTGTAAAAAAATTACTTTGTTGAATATTCTAATGGTACCAATGTCACATATCTACTAAATCGACTTTGTTTTAAGGTTTTTCAATAATTGTGAATTCTTTTGTCTATAATTTGTTATGATTACGTGTACTTTATGAATATAAGTCTGCCCAAGGATCCGGAGTTGTGAAATCTCATGTAAAACCAATTCAGTTTATTTTATTTAGTATCTCTTTAAGCACCGAACCTAACCTAACCAACTTTGTTATAAATTGTCAGTATCAATATTAGTCATGTTTATTTCTGTAATAGTTGAAGAGTGGAAATACCAAAGGGGGTAAGTGCCAAATTTTTCAATATTAAGTTACTGCATTAGAAACGTAATAAATACCATACTGCATGTCCTAACAAAAATTACAAATGCCAAGTGAAAACGTTTATTTTTTATGTACAGGGAAAATCAAATTCGACGCTTTTAAATGGAAACACCCTTTTCTATAGGAGATAGACGAAAACTAATATGGGTGTCTGGAGCTCAATTTTCATCAAAAACATGATGGTGAAAACCGTACATCAATAACTTTTACCGTTTCGAAGTTACGGGGTGCTTTTCAAAAATGTACATTTTTAACAAATCGCTGTAACTTTTTTGCTATGGAAAATTTTGTATTTCTATGAAAACATTTCCAAAGTTTACCTTTTTACGTAGAATTTAATGGTTTAGATATAATTTTTTTTAAATTAATAATTTAAGAGTTATCAACAGAAAAATTGATTTTTTATTTGGAACACCCTCTATATTTTTAATTAACCGAAAAGAATTTAAATATTTTTAAATTCTAATAGTTATCAATATAATAAAAGAATAGTACAAAGAAATATTCACATAATACTTTTTGTAAATAAATGGTTTAAAGAAATGATAGCACAGACTAATTGTGTTAAAAGTATAATGTGTTAAAAGTACTAGGACAGATTTATAAAATAAAAAAAATCTCCTCTGCCCCGGCACGTAAAGTATGTTAATTCTTAATATTTTCTTAATAATTTCGTCTATATTAATTCAAAATGGTACATTTTCATTTGTAAAAAATACAGATTTTTAATGTGATACACAAAGTATTTTGCATTTAAAGATTTGCGAATCATATATTATAAAATTATGCAGAGAATACATCAAACCTTTTATGGCCTTTAGTAACTACAAAAAAATGCAATAAATTTTTAAAAACAGTTTTTATTTCCTTTTTTTTTCTTTACTTAGCCCAATAACAGCCTGCTAAACTTTATTAACTAAGTAGAGATATATTTTTTCTAATTTTACACACCTTTACTGAGTTTTATTTATTTTCATTTAAGTTATTTATGCAGTATTTATTATAATATGTTGCGATATTTGACATTATACGTATATGGTAATTCTTGTGGTATATAATGGCCTTTCCTTATATGTTTTTTTCCATAGAGCTGTTTCTTAATGAACACAATTACACTTTTAAAATAGAATTTTTAATCGCTCTATATTCTTATATTTAGAAGGATATTATCGTTTAAGTTTTAATAGGTCTTCTAATTAGACTGTATCTCATTAAACCGCAGGTTTTGCTTTGGTTTAGCAAAATTAAAGTAATAAATTCTAGCGGGAGGTTGTTGGTTTTATAGAAAAATTTTATATTTTAATTTATTTACATATAGTAAATTAATTTAGCTTTTAATAAATGCCTAGAACATGTTAAAGATTTTTATTTTTGGGTATTACCGATTTTTTTTATTGAAATAACATATTGGTACTACATTGCTACATAATAATATAGTAACCTTTATACTTTATAAGTTGTGTATATTTCTGAAACTGAATAAAATATAAAAAACAAAAATTCAGATTTCTATGAATAGTCAACGTATCTTTTCGAGATGTGACGTTATTAAAATATTTTTTTCCATAGCAACTATTAAAATTACCTTATATCTATCAAAAATAGTAGATAAAATAGTACTTTAACCGAAAGGATAGATTAAATGATACTTTAACGCTTTTACGCTTCTCGCGCGTTTTTTAATAGCTTCCATTTTTGAAAATTTTTGTATTCCTTTTCATAAGTTATTCGGGATTTAAATAGAAGTAGTTTGGATATGGCGTTTGTCGCCTCAGCCTGAATATCTGTTGGTAATTTACTTATTTCGTTTTGAGCCATTTCTGGTTCCAATTCAATCAGCAATCGACACGAAAGAGAATTAAAAAATGTTGACTCAAAACTGACAACTAAAGAGACAGCTTTATTTATTTGTCAAATTACATAGAAACCAACGCCAACCCAGTACAATATTTTTTCTACTCGTAATAAATTCCTTGAAATAATAATTTCTGAATATTTTTTAAAACGTAACTCGCTATGGGAAAAAATATTGTTTTATACACGACGATAAAATTGCATTATCATCAGCCGAAATAAAATTAATCTTTTCGGTCGTCGATAAAATACCATTTTATCGTTCTGTATAAAAAATAAATATTATGTCAAAGTTTAATGTTAGATTTGGCCGTGTTTTTCTAAAATATAGAAAACTTTAACAGCTATCAAAATATGAGTAGGGGAGAGGTAGTAACAGTGAACACTGAGACAATTGCCGTACCGAGCAAGCAATTTTAAATTTGACGCCAAAATAAACAAAATCCGTTGCAGATGGCGTTGTCTGATACTCGCCGGAAGCCTCACGGCTGGCACTTCAAACGGGTTTCAGTTATCCATGATTACAGTAAGAGTGTACACTAAAGTAAATTTTGTTTTGCTCTAGAACACGTTTTTTAAGAACTATTGGCTGTTTTATTAAAGGTACGTACCATAAAGAATACTCGTTGTTTATGTTGAACCATAAAGTAGCACATTAAACAGTTATTTTATATTGCTAGGATTATATATTTAATAATTTGTAAAATATTTTATTTAGAAACAATGAGACATTCTTTGTGACGGAACACTAAGACTATGCTATTAAATAGTTCAATTTTTTTCAGATCACAGAATGTCTAGAATCTGAGCCACTAAATTTTGTAGTCTTCATCGTCATCCAATTCAAGACGACTATGTGCTTGTAGAATTTAGTGCTAAACAGAAAGTCTATTATGTGGGAAAAATTATATCACAATGCAATGAAAATGAATATGAAGTTTTATTCATGAGGAAGAGTACAAAAGGCTTTGATAGTTTTTTTGCTCCAAATGTCCCAGATTTGTCATTGCTCGTGGAAAAAGATATAAAAATGATTGAACACAGGGATTAACAAAAAGGCAAACATCTTTGTTAAAATTTGAAATTAATTTCACTAATTTAAACATAAAATAGATTTTAAAGTCATTAAGATAATGTTACATTGAATTAAGAAGCAAATTTTGAATGTTTATTTAAGTTTAAAAATACGTCATAAGCTTGTTCTGACCAAGAGTTAGAACAGTGGGACATTTCCGTTTTTTTAATAAACATTATTTAAGTTTATTTTTCGTTTTTTCATTTGAACTGAGTTTACTAATTAGTTCCTAACGACATACAAAAAACTGAGTTTAATTTGCAGTGAAATATATCTTATAATATAAAAGATATTTTGTCTTAAAATTTTGTGTCTCACTGTTACTACCTCTCCCCTAACTTACCGTTCTTGTCATTCCTGGAAAGTGCAATATCACAGCTTGCTCTGGCCAATTCTTTGTAACGTAGAAGTGAAAATCCCAAACCCTGTCGTTTACAAAAGTCTTTAGAGTTTGATGAAACTGAAACAAAACATAATTGTTAATAAAGAAATCCAAATCGAGTGGAAATTCTTTAACATTCTACAGTTCCATTTAATACCAAAATTTCTATGCTAAATGCCATTCTCTTAGTCTATGTATAAAAACCATAGAGTGATATTTTTTTAATTAAAAATAGATATCTCCAAATTCAAAGAAGATCAAAGAATTCTTAAGTTAGGCGCTTTCTGTGAATCAGTCCGACTGATTCATTTTTACTGAAATAATAATGAACGTGATTTACTGAAATAATAATGATATCGTCCCATTGCTGCCAAAAGTCACTAACTTACTTTTTATTACTTCCGAGAAAAATGCGTCTAAAGATTTGTGATTTTTAAGTCATTGCATAAAGATGTTATAGTTAGTAACTATTCGGTATTAAAATAAAACAAAAATAGTCAGAAATCGTTGTTAATGACTTTTGCAATCGATTCTCCGCTTCAATGGCTTAATAGCCGTAAAACTCATCGCAACTTTATTAGAATATTTTGAACGGGAAAGCGGTAGTAATGGACCCTTATATCCCTTAAGTGCTGTTAAGGTGAGTTTTGTTGATGTAAATAATGACTGTTTATATATTTTTTATAATTAATTTATTTTTGTTTCCTAAAAACCGGGTGCGTCTAAAAGTGGCTCACCCCCTATAACTTTTTTATTTTTTCAGATAAAAAAAATAAGTTTGGTATGTTAGTGTATGACATAAATTAGGATTGATTGGCTTATTCAATTGTTCTTGATCACTTCCTGTTTCACCGGAAATGACCACAACTTTTACACGGTATCTTTTTACTTTATTCGATAGAAAATGTCATTCTGAATAGGATGACATATCATATGTTAACTTTTGACTTTCTTGCTTAATAAAAAATCGTATTTTAAAATTTAATCTAGAGTGCCATCCATCTATGTTAAAAACACTAATTCTTAATCAAGGAGCCTTGGAAAGATAGATTTGATCGTCTAATGTTTTTAATTGCTTGTCCTGGCCAGTTAGAAAATGCTCAAATCGTATTTTTAATCATATCTCAATTTTTTCAAATGGAACGAGGGTGGCTCATTAACATATTTGGAAAAATAATATTTTTCCAAACTTGGTATTTCGAGTCAAATTTCAAAAGTCATATGCAAAAATGTCAAAAATTGACATATGATATATCATTCTATTCGGAGTGTTATTTTCTATCGAATAAAGTAAAAAAATACCGAGGGTGCCATTTAAAAATCAAAAGTTGTAGTCATTTCCGGTAAAACCGAAGGTGATCGAAAACAATCGAATACGTCAATCAATCTAATTTATGTCATGTGCTAACGTACCAAATCTCGTTTTTTAACTAAAAAAATAAAAGTTATAAGGGGTGAAGCCACTTTTGGAACTCATCAATATTTTGATTAAAAGAAAATATGTTAAAGTGGGCAACGCTGTGCCGGTGAAGCTTAATCACGTGGCTGACAGTTTATTTGATATGAACTATGCTTTTGTTCGTTTTGGCTGAACAATGATTCAAACTGAAGTGTGGGGAACATATTTTTGTTCAGTTTTCCAGGTTTGAGAAATTCAGAATTTCCAGATTTTTCTAGGAAATATTGAAGAATTGGCTTCTAAAACTAATTTTCCAATATAATTTCAGACCATACTCGCGGCTTGCCAGACCATCACCATCTATATGAATTTTCGTCGTTTTGGTACATCAAAATATTCCGTAACCCACTTATATCGTATATGATCAAAAAATACGGCGTCAGTTGAAGCGAAAATGAACATCGATGACATTCCCCATATAATTTACATATAAAATGACAGCGATCTTTTATGAGAAGGAAAACATGGTCCTGTCGAGAAAGGAAAACGTTTTCGGAAAATTAAGCACGACACGAGAATGATTTTCTTTTTCCCGAAAGAAGAAGATTTTGTCAATGAAGATATCGACGGTCTTACTTTTTCCCGGATGCTGAAAGGTTTTTGATTGATTATATGCAAGCGAGGGTTTTTGTTTATGGATTACGAAAAGAAGAAGAAAGAAAAAAGAAAAGTCGGGATATGAAAATTATAAGACGTATTGTACAGGGGTGTCCCTAATATTTCATGGACATAGAATTCTTCTAGAATCTTTGTATTTTTGATTCAAAATAAGTTAATAGGACACAATTAAACTTTATACGCAAAGTGCTTCGTTTATCTGTTCGAAGATACACGCAGTATTATTTCATATGGTTCTCTCAACGGTAAAATACAAGAGAAAAATGATTGGGTAGCTTTGATAAATTTTACTGTGGAAATGCCATATGAAATATAGAACCGAAAAATAAATTCAAAGTAAAAGTAAGTATATTAAAAAACACGCTTATCACCGCAGGACTCGGAAGCGACTGATGAGAATTCAATTGGCAAATACGGGTTAATATTAAAGGGCAAAAAGAAACAAAATGGCGAATAATGCGGCGCGTTCGGTTTTCTAACGATTTTTATTTTTTAGATTAATTAGAAGCTTACCTGTATATGCATATCACAGGCAACTAAATAAACTAGTAACCCTTTGAATAATAAAGAAGACTAAAGCCGGAGTCTCATGCATACGAAATCCGATGACACGACGATCCGACGGTGCTCCTATTGGTCGAAATATTTTGACACCAATTTTTATCCGATATTTTTAACTAATCGTCCGACGTCGTATAAAGTTAAATTTTGTTTAACTTTTGTACGATATCGTGTGTTTTTTAACCTCACTTTTATTGAAAACATTACGATTTTAAAATCAAGTTTAGTGGGAAGTGGGCAATTTCGAAGGATATTTGGCGAGGAAGTTATTTTTATAAGTGTTTCTCCAATAATACATGGAATAATACATAATAATAATACATAAATTACAAGTCTAAATGTCAAAACTGTCAAATTTCGGAACGAACTTTTGGATGTATGTGACAGGCTTTTTTATTTCACACGATAACTTCAACTTTCAGGATGTCGTACCATCGGATTTCGGATGCATGAGACTCCGGCAAGGAAGAACATATCAACAATCTTAGGTACACCGCGATGGGCCTCAAATATGCCGACTTAAATTCCGGTTTATCAAGTGTCGTTCTAATTTTATTTAAAAAATGTAAAACTATGATGTAGAGATTGGGCGTGGGGTAGACTCAATAATTTGTTGTTTTTTATTTACGTTGTGAATAAATGTTGGTAGTTTTTAAAATTGTTATAAAAATATATAACTCTAATAAAAATAGATATGTTATAATAATTATTTATTAACACAAACATCCGATGCGCTACTGAAGCAGGTAAGTCAAATTGACGTATCTAAATTCTTTGACATCTAATCTTTGACAAGTAGTAAATAAAAGCAAAAATGCAAGAAAATATATGATTAGTTAATTTAAGTGAATTTCATAAATGATCGGTTTACTACTCTTATGTATATTATATAGTAACTTACTAGCGAAAAGTTGTTCCAATATTTCACTCGATTTTAGACCGAGATCTACCGCACGCTACACAACCAACTATTTTAGAGTTTTTTTCGATAAATCGCAATAGCGTCACTGTTAATTTAAGTTCTGCCATAATTTCCATCTAGGTTTACTACCTTTATACAACTGTCAGTAGTAAAATAAATAATAAATAACATAAAATAAGCTCTGTAAAGACTGACAAATCCACAAAATTTCAAATCAAATTCAAATGCATATTTCAAATGAATCGTCAAACAGAACTGTCAAGGATCCCCACCCTAGAGAGCTTTTATGGTGGCTTTTAAGTGAGTGTATTGAACTAAGTAAGTGGATTGAACACAAGATTACGAAGCAAATACAAATTAAAGAATACCTGATTTAAAAAATAAAAAACAAAGTTGTAACCAACAAAATTCGCGCTTTCGTTCAATAATAAAACCGTTTATTATAAAAACAATTGGATTATGTGGTTAAGTTAGCTGTTAGAGTTAAATTTTCGATTTTATATAATTTAAAAATTTTTGCTCTCCTTTATGAATTGGCACGCCACTGTAAAAAGCCATGTGCTAATTATTTCTTCATTCCTTTAATGTGACTCTGTATTTTCTTGATTGGGGAAGCCATTCCAGTTTGCGAAAACTTAGATTTTAGCGAACGAAGGCAAATTAACTGTCTCACGTCAAATTAGGCGTCAAAGCGGCGCCGAATATCTGTCTGAATTCTAGGGCTTCCGTGATTGGAGGCATTTTTCAGGCCGATATTTGCAGAAATAATGAAGGGTGTACAGGCGATGTATCATTTCGAACGTCAGCTATGATTTAGCATTAGTAAACCTGAAAATCCTAAAAATCCTAAAAATATTTTAAAAGAATTAATAGTCATAGATAAATGAAACATGTTTAGATTGGAAAGTTTCCAAAAGGCCAATGTAAATACTATTTGGCGCTATTCTCACAACGGTCGCGACCTAAAGCTTTTGGTAATTTCGGAGCGGTTCCTCTTTTTCCGGAATTATGTCGCTAAATATTATTATTTATTCAAATTTTTATTATTTCCTTTTAATTTTTTAAATAAAATACAGTGTGTTGCATACAAAAAACTTTATTTTATATAAGAATATATGATTATGAAATACCTGGAATGGAACATTGGAAACCGACGTTATACCACGATCTAGGATGTTTTTTCATGCACAGCACAGCTTTTTAAGTTTTTCATGCTACTTTTTTACAATTATTATCACGGGTTGGAGTAAATAAAATTTAAATTAAACTCACAAAATAGCAATAATTACTTCGAAAATGGACGCTTTCAACACTTTTCGATACTTTTTCAATGACAACAGTTTAAACGTGGTTTAAATTTTGAAAGATTTTATAATTTCTGAAGATTCTGACTTTGAAAAGAAACAATTATTTCTGTTCTTGTTTACGGTTGTTCTTAGCAACCGCTATAGCAGCGCCAGATCCCGTAGAACGTATGCACCCCAAAACAATTATAAGTTTTAGCGGCAAGCCAAGCAT